TGCTGCCCCCGTGTTGCAGGGTTGGCTTGGGATGTGCGGTGCAGAGCAGGTCTGCTTTGGTCCTGTCCCACATCATTCCCTGAGCTCGCAGGAGGGGACTTTCTCGGTCCCTTGCTTGGATCCAGAGGCTTTTGTTTTTCTTCAGAGTTTCTGTAACAGGTTCTCTGCTGCCATCAAGTAGTGCTGATGCTGGTGGGGGCTGCGCACATCCAGCACCACAAAGCCTGGGCCAGCAGCAAGCGGTCACTCTAGAGCCACCAGCGCTTCGTGTGGCCACCATCTCTGTCCAGATGCTGCCTCATTACGGACACATCTTGAATGAGAGCAACTGCTAATAAATTTGTAGGCAGTTGCGGGGTCTGTCTGGAGGGAGGTGGGAGCAAATGTTGCTGCGGCTCTTGTACAGAGATGCCTTCTCCACCTCGGAGTTGAGAGCTGCGCTGCGCGTCCCTGGGGAGCTGCTGGGAGCATCGCATACGTGGCTGTGCCTCAAACGAGGCGTTGGGCCAGTGCAGCCTCAGCGCCGCCATCCAGGGTGTTTCGAGCTGTGGTGCAGTGCTGAAGAAGCAAAAGCAGCCCAAGGATTTTCCCTTTCATCTGAAAAAACTCGTTTTTATGAAAGAAACTGGGCTTCTGTGATACCGTGCTCTAAAAATAAAAAAAAGCCATTAGCTGCATTGCAGGAAGGGGGATGAATCTGCCCTGGAGAGCATCGTCTTGCCTGGCTCCCGTGGGCTTGCTGGCAGCCTTGGTCACGCTGGCGTCACCTGGGTTCCAGGGTCAGCTGGCGTATGGCCTGGGTGCTGTCCGCAGGCTTGTCCCCAGATCCCATTTTTGCTCTCAAGATACAGAGTGCCCTGAAGATAGGGCCCATTCAACAGCCCAACAGGCTGTTTCAGCTGTGGTAGCATCACCGGGAGCGTGGCCAGGAGGGGCCCGTGGGTTTTCCACCATGCTGAAAGCCTGTGATGTTGAATTTCCAAGCTGAGGGGTGCTGCGGAGCCGGGCCGTGTATGTTAATTGCAGGTGTTGGTGGTGAGACCATCTGCTTTGGGGTGGAAGGGGACTGGGGTGCCCATCCCTGTCTCGCTGCACCGTGCTTGTCCAGCTCAGGCTGCTGGCCTGCCCACGGCGGTGGGGTCTGGCTGACACGGGTCCCTTCAGCACAATCCCTCTGCACGGAGGTTTTGAACCAAAGCATGCTGGAGATTTGGGGCAAAAGTCGGGATTGTCTCCTTCTTGGACCTGTGTGGTTCTTCCTCCTTGCTGCCAGCCCTGGGGTAGCTCCATCCTGCCCGGCTCCAGGTGGCAGCCCCCCTTCCCAGGCCTCTGGATTTGCGTGGGGACACCTGTGTCCCCTCCGGTGCCTTCTGCAGGGCTCCATGCTGTAGGTGCCCCATGATGCTCAGAGCCCCAAAGAGCTGTAAGACCCGCTGTTGAAGGGAAACACTGTAAAGGCTTGGCTTGAATTTGGCTTTTTCCCATCCAAATGGGGTACTCGGAGTCAAGCATCTGTGGGGCTGTCATGGCTTGGCTTGGTGATACGAGACGTGCTGGGGGGGCAGAGTGAGCCTGTGGAGCAGGGCTGGTCTTTTTTAACTGTTTCGGAGAAGAGCTCCTGGAAGATCAGTGGCTTTGCAAGCGAAGCTCCCGGCTGCCAGGCGCTCCCGCCCTGCGCTGTGCACAAAGCCGCTCGGGGAGGCTGGGTGGGGAGGTTACAGGTGAGAAATTAAACCCCCTGCGTTCCTCTCTTGGGTTGGAGCTCTCTTGGGTTGGGAGATGCCGGCAGGAGGTGAGGCTGGGTGGTTTTGGGGATGGTCCAGGGAGCCATCCAACCCAGGGCGCTTTGGGCATCTGCCTCTGCCCCACGGAGGACCATGTTCTGGTGGAGACATGACTTCAGATGACCAGGGGCCAAGCTTTTGGCGCTGCCATCTCCAGTCCCCAGGGAATGGCTTGTTTGTGAGCACCGGGGGATATGGGGCTGCAAAACAGCCAGCGGCGATTTATTGAGAGCAGGTCGCATCAAAGCAGTGTCATCCTGTGCTAGGACAGGGTGACAGCCGCCTGGCCATGGCGAGGAGCAGGGCCACCTCGGCTCTGCGCGCTGCTCACCAGAGCTGGTAGATGCGGCATGGAGGCTGAGGTTGTTTCTTTGTGTATGCCAGCAAGCCGAGGTCGCGGGTGCTGGCCGAGCAGGGGGTGATGGCTGAAGTGGCAGGTGACGTGGTGTCCGCGTGCATGTGGCAGAGGATGGAGCTCAGAGTGAGCTGGGGGCAGCGGTTGCCCCTGCAAAAGCTGGATTCTGGCCGTCTCTCCCAGTAACCCAACTGGGAAGTGGTGGGGCTGGGCAGAAAGCTCATTTGTCTTCCAGCCAGGGCACCGGGGCAGTGTGGTTTGGCCAGGGTGCTGAGGGGACCCTGGCAAAACCAGCGATGAACTAGAGCCTGCAAAGACCTGATCTACCTGATGTAGCCACAAAATTCATCTTGCCTGCAAGCATTTTTGTGCCTTCCGGAGGAATCCCATTCCCAAGCAATCGGTGCGGCTGGGCACAGTCTCTGGGGTCAGCATGGCTGCTGTGTCCATTGCATAGCCAAAACTGGGGGGAAAGAGGTGTCCAGCGAAGCTTTTGCGTGCCTGCAGCTGGGCTGGTCTCCGCTCTCCCTTGCAGTGGAGCTGCGGATGGGTGGACCCTGCAGGCAGTTGAAGATGTGCCGGACACATCAGCATCTAGGACAGTTGGAGAGGGAAGAGAGGACATCATGTTTCTACCGTTCAAAGTTGCTTTCAGAGAGCAGCTGATGCAGAAGGAGCTGAGCACATTGCAGCGCGTTGAAGATGCCACCGTGGGTGCCAGGACAGCAGGGACCATGTGCAAACCATCCTGGACCACAATGTGTCGCGTTCCCAACCCGGCCTTTTTTTGGACAGCACGAGCGGTTTTGTGCTGGCCCCTTGGCCGTGAGCAGGCTGGAGGCAGGCACTGTGGTGAGAGAAGGATTTGGGGCAGGGAGCAAGGCCGTGCTTTGCTCACAGAGATGTGCTCGCTCCGATCTCTTGCGGGAGAAAGCAGAGGTGACTCCTGGCTCCTGCAGCCCATGCCTTCCTGGAAGAAGAGCTACCATCACACGTGAACCATGTCTCCGGTGGCTTTCACAGCCAGCAGTTCCCAAGATGCGGTCTGGAATGCCCGATGGAGGTGCCTGCAGCTGCCGAGAGCTCTTCAGCAATTGCTCTCCACGTCTGCCGATCAAAGCCTGATAATTCCTTAAAACCCGGTCCATAATGCCAAATTGTGTTGAACCTCAGTCCGCAGGAGACATCCCCCATGTTGGCCGCTGGTAGAGGGGTTCCTGCCTGCTTCCCCTCCTCTCCCCTGGCTCCCGTCCCTGCCAGTCCCCGGCGTGGTTTTGGGTGCACTGTGGCTTGGAGACCCCTTGGCTGCCAGGCTTTGCTGATGAACTCAAAAGGGAAATGAAAAAGGGAAGCAGCGCGGATTGCAGAACTGTTGGAAGAGGTCAGGAAAACCCTGGGGACTTGCTGATGTGTTGGGTCTGGAGGGGTGGTTGGCTCAACCAGGCACAAAATTCTGTTTATCAGAAAATGGCATGAATTGCCTTCCCTTTTTAGGGTTTGTGTTAACTGAAAGAAAACCCAGAAAAGTCCTAGAGAAAATGAGATTTTAAGCCAGTCAAGAGCTGCTGGGATGAGTTCAGCCACGCTTGGTGGTTCCTAGAAGTTTCTGGCACTGATGGCCAAAAGGCCCAGTGCCGTGTTATCCTGGTTATCAAACCGGCTTCCCCGACAGCTTCCCTGGCATCTTTTCACAAGGATGCATTTAAAAAGTCTTCTGAGTCCCAGTGAGGCTGCCTGCCCGGTGGGAGGCTGCAAGAGGCAGAGGGTGAAGGGCTGTGGCAGCTCCTGCGCCAGGGATGCTGCTGGCGCTGCCTGGAGCATCCCTCTGTGCTGCTCAGCCCAGGGCCGTCTCGTGGCATTGAGATATGAGCAGCAAACTGGAAGGTGGGGTGGGCTTTAACAGACCAGTGCCGTCCTGTCCCTCCGGTGCAGTGCCGGGCACGTGGACTGGTGAGCCGGCATCTCCCCGTGGCAGCAGAGGGACTGTTCCTGCTCGCCGCTCTGACAGGACTAAGCTAGTTTCGCAGCGGTGCTGGGATGCTGCAAATCTGGAGCAATTTCATGCTTCTCCTGCCTGACGCGGCTCGGAGCTGCCCTGCTGGAGGACACGCGGTGGCAGCTCCTGGGGAGGGGGAGAGGGGACCCTTTGCATCCCCCCATGTCACCCAGCACGAGCAGCTGGCTCTCATGAAAGGGCAGGGTGCAGGGGCTGGAGATCCCGTGCAGGCAGGCTGCAGGCAGGCAGCAGACCTGCAGGAAAGCAGAAGTCAGTCTGGTTTGGGCTGGGCCATAAATGATCCGGAGCAGGAAATGTGCCCGAGCCCCCGGGAATCGCGGCTGAAAAGAAGCCGTTGCGGGAGGTGGCTCCCCTGGGTGGGCAGCCCAGCCGCCTGCCTGCACCCTGGGTCCTCGCGGGGCTGCCAGCGGGTTTTGCGGGAGAGGCTTGGGCCCGGCACGGCTGACCTGAGGTCACTGCAGCAGGCGAAGTTCTCTGCCTCCTCCTGCGGAGAGCTTAGGAATCCCACCTTGAAAGGGTTGGGTGGACGAGCTTCTTCCACCCCACCGAGACGGCAGCGTGGCTGGGGCTGGGGGTGGCAGCTCGCTGCGGGGCTGGGGGCTTCACCAGGGTGCCCTGTGCCCCATGCAGCGGCAGCATCTCCCTCCTGCAGGCATTTTATCTCCTTGGCTCTGATTTTGGTCCTGGCGTGGAACAGCAGGAGGGTCGTGCTGTACCTGCCGCAGGGCTCGCAGAGCGTTTGGGGTTATTTCTAGGCAGGCTTTCAGCCTCGCTGCCCTGCTCGGGGCAGGCTGGCAGGGTTTCCGTGCCTCCTAACGCTGCTTCTTGTTCCTTGCAGTCAGGACAGTTCAATGAAGACATGATCCCGACGGTGGGCTTTAACATGAGGAAGATCACCAAGGGGAACGTTACCATAAAGGTAAGGTGCAGATGTTATTGCCGGTGTGGGCTCTTGGGATGAAAGGTGGGGTGAAGGGAGACTGGTAGGACTTCTACTGGAGGTTGAAAGATGCCAGCAGCCCCAGCTGCAGCTGGGAAGATCTGCCCTGCTAGGTTTCTGCAGGTACCCACCAGAGGAGATGGTGGGAAGGGACATGGTTTAGTGGTGGCCTTGGCAGTGCTGGGTTAACGGTTGGACTTGATGATCTTAAAGGTCTTTTCCAACCTTAACGATTCTGTGATTCTTACTTCTCTGCAGTAAGAGCCAGTCTGGGCTGCAAAGCTGGAGGTTTTCTTATACCTCTGGCTTGCTGGTGGGGACTTGTGGATGCGGTCGCCTTGCTGAGGGTGGGAGCGCTGGGTAAAACGGGTCATGGCTTACAGTGGTGGTCTCTGCCTCGAGAGCAAGGGGAGAGGAGGTTTCTACTCCTTCTGGATCTTTCAAGGGCCCCAGGTTGGACTGGGAAATAATGGTGGGATGGGCTTGAAAAGCTGATCAGGGATCTCTGCCTGCTGCAGAAATGTTTCCAAGAGCGTGCTGAGTGTTTTGAAATGGCAAACGTATCAGTGAAAAGCCAGGAGGGGTGGTGGGCATGGAGAGTTGCCCCCCAGCTTGGGCCAGGGGGTCCCTCCGTGCCAGCAGAGGCACATCCCAGGAGGTGTTCAGCACCCTCCAGCTGCCCTTCCTGAGATGTCTCCTTTCTTTATCGAGTTGGGAGCCTCCTCGTTAGGTTTGAGACGAAGAGGAGGGGATGGGGGTGGGTTTGGTGCATGCCGGGTGCTCTGGCCAGGTTGCCGCGTAGGGAAGGGTCACGGGCAGGGCGGTGGGGTAACGAGCAGGATGGTGGGCTAACGCCGCCTTCTCCCTGTCACAGCTCTGGGACATCGGTGGCCAGCCGCGGTTTCGCAGCATGTGGGAGCGGTACTGCCGCGGAGTCAGTGCCATTGTGTGAGTATCCCTGGGAGCCGAGAGCCCCGGCACCCCCGCGCTGCCGCTGAGCCCCACCAGCGGGTGGGGACACGGTCCCACCGCCCCACCCAAGGGTGCTGGGCAGGGCTGAGCCGGGGCAGCTGCCGTGCCTTCGCTGCTGGAGCTGGACGCCCGTGGCGGGAGTTGAGGTGCTTCCCCCTGGGACCGGTTCCCCCACGGGCTTTGAGCACAGGGCAGCCAGGGCCCCGCAGCCGTGGCAGACCCTTCCCTTCCAGCATTGCTCGGCCCGGCTCTGTTCCTCGCATCTTGCCCTTCCTGGCTCCCGTGCTCCTGCCTGTCCATCGCAGGGGCTCAGCAAAGGCCATCGGTGTGGCTCAGCCCTTTCCAAGGGGCTGGTTTTAAAGGCAGCCGCCAGCAGCCTGTTTCGAGGTCATGCTGTTTATGTGCTGCCGGATGAATCTTGTGCTGAGAGAAGGAGTCTCCCTGCAATGCCCGCTGCTGACTGTCAGCAAGTCTCTGAGTGTCCCCGCATGTCCCCTGCTTGCAAACATTGCAGTAAGTGCAGTCCCAGGGAGTCCAGGCTGGGGAAGAGCCCAGCAAGATGCTCATGGGACGCAGGCTGCCTGCTCCTAAGGACAAGAATTCACCCTAGAAGGCCACGTCGCTGTTGCTTAAACCCAGTTAGAAACTCAGGTTTATGTGATCTTCACCAGTTGCCAATGCCCTGAGGTTTTGGAGGGCTGGGATTCTGTGGTGCCCTTCCCAGCTGTAGGTCTGGCAGGTGAGGAGGAGTGAGGGACCGCATGTCCCGCTTGTTGGGACAGCAGTGTCTGGTCCTGCCCTTGTGGATTGTCACCATGTCAGGAGATGTCCTTGACACTTTTTATTGGAGTGAGCTTTGCTGGAAATGACAAAACCCCATTTTTTTCACTCCTTTTACTGCCTCCTTCCATAATTTCATAATTTTTCCAAAGTGGCCCATCTGGTTGAGAGGAAACAAAAGGATCTGTGGCCGTCTAGGTCATGCTCCTATCTGCTTTCTTCGCCTCGAGCTGCGTCGTGTCCCTTTTCGCTTGCCTCCAGCCCTCCCGCCCCGTCCAGCGTGCCGAAAGCTCGTGGCAGTGCCTGGGTGGTGTTTTTCCCTCTCGGTACAGCCATACACATTTTCCTGTATTCAGCGCTTCAGTAGCTAAAAGCTCTGTTGGTATTTTTAATAAACCCTACAAGGCCCGATGAAGCTTGATGGTGTTTCTCACTTCTTCTCTCCCAGCTTCTTGATCTTTAAAATAAAGGCTGCTTTGATCAGTTCCTCTCCCCAGTTTTGGCTTCACTTATGTCCTTTGCAGGACGGGTTTCTGCCCGTAAGAGCTAAATCCTTCCCTAAACCTGCCCCATCTGCTCAGAGCAAGCATTGCTGACTGCTGGCTTCGCGTGCCCTTTGCTCTGTGCCCCATGCCCAAGATTGCTCCCATAGGGAAGATGAGCAGGTCCTTCCCCCTGCCAGGATTTCGAGTCCACGTCTCCTCCATCATCAGCTCTTCTTGTCTTCTCCACTTGTTGTCCTCTTTCTGGGTGTCTCCATAAGGAGCTGCCACATGCAGATGAGCTTCACTTGGGTGCTTGGGGACAACATTTTGCAGCTTCTTCTGCCCAGGCAGCGCTTGGGCTCCCCTCACCCTCCGTGTCCTCGCTGTCAGCAGGCTGGGCCCCTGTGGGGACGGGGACGGGGACAGGGAGGTCCCCCGCTGCCCTGGGAGACAAGAGAGGCTCTCAGCCCCACAGCCTTCCTTGGGAAGAGGGGTCCTGGGGGAAGGATCCTGTTATCCATCACCTCCACACACTGGCCTGGGAGCCGATGGGGGCGATGCAGCTGCCATGAGAGCGAGGTTTGGTGGTGGCACAAACCTCAGCACAGCACCGGGGTGCGGGGACCTCAGTGCCTGTGCTCAGGGGTGTCCCTTGCCTTGCAGGTACATGGTGGACGCCGCCGACCAGGAGAAGATAGAGGCCTCCAAGAATGAACTGCACAACCTGCTCGACAAGCCGCAGCTCCAGGGCATCCCGGTGAGCTGTTGCCTGGATAGGTTCCCCCCAGCCGCTCGCGGTCCCCAGGCTGGTGGCTGCCAGGGTTGGCAGCGAGGGGCTTGCATCTTGCAGAGCAGATTCAGGAGGCGGATCCCCTTCCTTGGGGGGTCCCCTTCCCCGCTGAGCTCCTGTGGGAGCTGGGGAAGTGACGCTTTCTAGCCCAGGGCTGGGCCAACCAGCAGGGAAGGGAGCTTTAGAAGAGGCTAAAAAACCCCCCCGATCTGTGAGATCTGTCCTCTTGCATGAATTTGCACCTTATTTATGGTGGGACATAAGGTCTCGTCTCCTAGGAGAGCTGCTGCTGGGCTGTGACATTTGCAGGAGGTGGGCTGTGGCGGCGGGCACACCGCGTGTGCCGGGGGAGGATGCTTACGGAGCATCCAAAATCGGCATCCTTTCACAGGAGCTAATCGAGGATCTTGCTTAGATCCCAAACATTCGCTGCCAACTAAATTAAGCTCCTGACATAACGCACTGCATTTGCAGCCCTTCTGAGTGCTTTTTTGAGAACAAGACTCCAAATTTAAATCGGGGGATGCTGCGTTACGGTGCTGCTGCAGAGGCCTCGGCTCACCCCGGGAAGGCGGCCACAGCCTCAGTGCTGTCCTTGTCAGATGACAGTCGCGTGGCATGCTCCGGAGGGATGAACGAGTCCTGCCGGGTGATTATTTTCCTTGCGTAGTCTGAGGATGCCTTTGTGGATGTGAAAAGCCTTGAAGTAAGGAGAGATCAGTGGATGGCGCAAACAGCCGTTGCTTTTTGGGCTGGCTGCCTGTGGAGAGCAGTTCTGCATGGCATCCACGTCTTGCTCCTTCCTGATAACGTCAGTTTTAGCCATTTCACTTGATTTTTTTTTGCTCAAAGACAGCAAGACGCTCCTGGGAGAACGTCCTAGATGGCAAGAGAGATGCTGGCGCCCTTCAGGGAGCATGTGCTGTGGGGCCAGCTTCTCACTGGGACTAGAGAGGACACAGGAGATGCTGTGTAGGGGCTAATTAAGGCTGTTAATTGAAGTGCTCTGCCTTCTGATTGCCCACTGAAGGGGTTTTCTTCATCTGGGCACACCCTGGTGAAGTGGCCAGGGCTGTCTTGCATCTCAAGCAGGGTCCGCTTCTGGGTGGCAGAAGCAGGTTCCCACCTGGTCTGGTGGTCAGGAGCTTCAGGTGTCCCCTCTCCCCTCCTGCAGGTCCTAGTCCTGGGGAACAAGCGAGACCTGCCCGGTGCCTTGGATGAGAAGGAGCTCATTGAGAAGATGTAAGTGTGCCGGTGGCCCCAGGTGGCTGCGGTGGGGCTGTGACAGTGCCACCCCCTGTTCCTGCTGTGCCCCCACAGGCACGGTCACCCCACCGTGCTCTGCCAGTACTCCTTCCCTAGCCAGGGTGGCATCGCGGCGCTTGGGGTGGGCTGGCAGAGACGGGTGGCTGGGGACATCCGAGGCAGCTGCCGGCGGAGGTGACGTCTCTGTGCTTGTGGGAACGGGGAGGAGCTGGGAGCCATGGCCGCCAGTGCCAGGCTGGGTCCCGCGTGCCACACGGTGGCGTTGGGGCCCAGCCCGGCACGGCACGGCACAGCGCTCGGTGGCGGAGCTGGGCTCCTGCCTGGGTGCTGCTCCCGTCACCCTCTCGCGGCTCTGCCCCTGGTGCGGGTGCTGCACCCCCGGCAGCAGGCAGCCCTTGGTGCTTGGAGGTTGGATCCTGCTCCGGTGTGTTACACCATCCACGTGCTTCTCCCTTATTTCACCACCTTTTGCCATGCCGGCGTGTGGCCTCCTCGCAGCTGATGCTGCCTCCTGCCCACCTCCACCCCTCCCCTGCGGCTGGGGGACTGGGATGCTGCGCTGACTGCAGCATCTCTGCTCCCCCCGCCACCCCTCGGAGATCTTCCCTGTCCCACAGGCACCTACGCAGCTCCCGTGCTGCCAGCCCTGTGCTGCTCCCAAACCCTCCCCGCCCCATGTCGCCGCAGAGCTGTGCAACTGAGTTTTGGGGAGGGAAGCTGTGTGATTTCGTGGCCAGGCTCTCATTGAGGTTGGGTCCCTCCTGCCCCGTCACGTAGCCCCTGCAGACCGTGCCTGGCCATCAGTCGTGGGCACGGTGTGCTGGTGTTCTTGCCCAACCCGCGTGCGGGTCCCTGGGAGCCTGGGGAGATGCTCCCCCTGCAAAGCGTCCCCCGTCTTGGAATTGGGGTCCAAAGGGACCCTTCAAAAGGCTGCCTGGAGACATCTCCCATCGCCGCGCAGCCCTGGGGGTCTGCAGCTAGAGCTCGCTCCTCTCCCGCAGGAACCTCTCCGCCATCCAGGACCGAGAGATTTGTTGCTACTCCATCTCCTGCAAAGAAAAGGACAACATCGGTGAGTACTGGCGGCTCCGGTGTGGTGGGGGGGGCAGCCCATGCCCACAGGAGCAGCGTGCCCAGGCTGTTTCCCCAAGTACGGGGGGTGACGGCTGGAGGGAGAGGCTGTAAGTGTCCCCTTGCCTTCGCAGACATCACCCTACAGTGGCTTATCCAGCACTCGAAGTCCAGGAGAAGCTGAGATCCCACTGTCTGCGGCTCAGATCGGAAAGATGCCATTGTACAAGCCCATGCCCTTTCTCTCTCCTGCTCTGTCCCTCCAGCTCTCTCTCTAGATGGGTATTTTTAGGGGACCCCAGACTCCGCTCGCATTGAGGTGGAGCCCTTGTTTTTATTGTAAAGATAATGTCTGACTCTGCCCTCCTCTCCTCTCCTCTCCTCTCCTCCCCTCTCTCTGTCTCTTCCTCCCATTTTGGCACTGTTCTGTTGTTGTCTGTGTATACAGTATATATATATATGTATATATATTTTAATTTTTTAATTTAAGCGATAGCGCTGTTACTAAACTGGGCCCTGTGAGTGGTAGGAAGGCTGTGGGCTCCCCGAGGCCAGCCGAGGGTCAGCGCTGGGAGGAAGATGGGGGTGGTGGCAGAAGGCAGCCCCTTGGGGATGGGGCCGTGGCAGGCTGCGGGCAGGTCCCCTGGGGCTCCCTCCTCCCTTCCCCGGGTCTCCTGCCTGTGTCCCTGGGCAGGGAGCATCCCAGGGGTGTCAGGAGCACGCCGCCTTGCCCTTCCCCGAGCTTTGGCCCTATGGGCAGAGTTTGGGGGGAGGCGATGCCACCCCCTGGGCTCCTCACCCCTCTGGGAGGACAGGAATTACTCACCGCCCACTGCAATCAGCTCGCCCCCGCCATTGCCTCCAGCTGCCGTGCTGCTGCCCCAACCCCTCCGTGCTGCCCTGGGCCCCAAGTCACC